TTATCGTTTCTTTTTTTAGATTATAGCAAACTTCATTTTTTATTTATCAACAAACTTTCTATTGGCTAGCAACAGCAATTTTGCTTCAAATTAAAAGAGAATTAAGACTGGTTAATATAAATTTAAACTATGAGTGACAATTCTGTTTAAATGACTGTTAAGATATAATTGATAGAAAAACTTCCAGCAAGACCAGATTGCCTTCAGGGCGGCGATACGTAATCCAATTTTCTATTATCATTCCCACTACAGTAAGCAAATAACGGATACAATCATATTCCCAAATTATTTTTATTTCTCAAAAGTCAAAAGTTTAAGATCTGTTTTTCAATATCCTTCCAGATTCTCTATTGACCCTTAATCTTCTCAATCAACCGAATCTTCTTTCCGTTCACTTTAAATTATCGCATGAAAAGATCGTTCAGCTCCCACAGATACCGTTAATAACCACTTAAGGTTGCATTTTGTAGTATTCGATATGATTATTCCACAAAGAATTCTTGGAATGTTTATTTGTTTATAAATTCCCGAATGATTCATATCAGATTTTACTCCCTAATATAAATGCAAAGTTGTTTTTATGAAAACATCGCAAGATAATTTTTAAGAGTCTGTCAGATTTTTATTTCTAAGATAATTCTATACCAAGTGGCCAAAAGTGGAATGAAAATTCATTGCTCGAAGAAAGTTTCCAATTTTTTCAGCAACTTTTTTTGTTTAATTCAATCAGTTCACAACTGTCTTGTAAAAATTTCGCATGGAGTTCGTTACCGGATACTATGAAGAACTTCATATGAAGTTTTCAAAATGCTGAAGATATATAAAATCAATACTGACATGTGGACATTAATACTTTCTGCTCCAGACACGAAAGAATTGCACTCAGATAACATTCTCTTCCAGCATCAACAGCCTACAACAGGTGCATAATCTAAAGGTTGGCTAAATCAGCATATAAAGCAACTACAGAAAGCTTTGGACATCACCACATCACCATCGCCTAAGTCNAAAGAATTGCACTCAGATAACATTCTCTTCCAGCATCAACAGCCTACAACAGGTGCATAATCTAAAGGTTGGCTAAATCAGCATATAAAGCAACTACAGAAAGCTTTGGACATCACCACATCACCATCGCCTAAGTCTATAGTATTAGAAGTTTACGCTGCTTACGTAATTTATCGTTAAATTTTGAATTTTATTCATTTAAACAAGAAGTTCTCAAAATTTATTGTACTTTTCAAAAGTAAAATGATCTTTTGATAAGACAATTATAGCCGTGAATCAATGATAATCAAATCAATCAGTAATCTGTAATGAATAACCTTACAGATAGATAGATTATGAATGTTTGATAAAAAACCCCGCAGTGAAATTGCAAAAGAATATAGATACAGTAAGCTTTTGATTGATTAATAGAGAAATAGAAATTTTATTCTTGATAAGCCTTGATAAAAAATATTATTCTTTCCGCTATTACATTTCACATGACAGTCTGCTTCCAAGAAAAATATATAACATTTTTAATTTTTTGCCACATTACTATTAAACATTAAGCAGGAAAAAGAGTGAAATGATAACGCACTTTGGCAATAAATGTTTTGGCTGTCAAATGAACAATGAAAAGAAGGAAAATAAAATTTATTGATTATTCGAATAAAATATTGAAAATTTTTAATATTAATATTTTAAGAAATGATTTTTTTGGGTAAACGTAATTTTTCTTTTTCATTTCGCTCTTTTTTATAGTAAAATATATTAAATAATATTTAATAAAAGGCGATTATCTTTAAATATCACATTGTTTCTTCTTCCAAATGTTAATTATAAAATTTTTAATTTTCAAAAATTAACGTTTTTTCAAAAAAGTTTGCAAGGCAATATTATCATTAGTATCGTTGATATATATATATGCTTTTCAAGTAACTCTACCTGAACACTGTCCTATATTGACTAATAAAAATATATCTTTAATTGGTCAAATTAAATCAATTAATTTAGCAAATCATTTATTTTTTTATAAGAAACAATAAGGCTTTTAAAACTTTTCACATTACTAAATATTAAGAAAAATATGTTGGAAACGTCGTAATTATTAACTTTTAATATTCTGAAATATTTGCCTGACGGTAAGAGCATTGTACATAAAATGCAAAAGAAATATTTTATTTGTCGTTTAATTTTAAAATTGGTCAATTTTCCAAAAGCTTTTTATTATATGATAATAAAAATTGAAGCACTTCATTAATTTTAAATTCGATGTTCTAACATTTGCAAGCAAAATCCAACAACGATTTCAGGTCTATGAATTTCATGACATAATGGAAAAGACATATCAACGACGCATTGGTGCAAACAGAAACAACCAAAATAAGATCGATATCTTCGATAAATTCATTGCCCGTTACTTTCATTTTCCCATTGGTCCTCTTTGACCCNTCTATGAATTTCATGACATAATGGAAAAGACATATCAACGACGCATTGGTGCAAACAGAAACAACCAAAATAAGATCGATATCTTCGATAAATTCATTGCCCGTTACTTTCATTTTCCCATTGGTCCTCTTTGACCCATTATACCTCGCAATCCCACATTTCCCTTATTTCATGGTGGACCATCAATTCCAGGCATCCGGACGGACTTTCGTCACCAACTGCTCCTTCATCTCCCGGCTCTCCTCTCTCTTCCACACTTCTATCCGTCCATCTCGTCCTGGTGGTCCGCTTAAATGATTGCAAGCCTGAAAATAAAATTTGCGGATAATTTATAGAAATACCCTAAATCACACCGTTCAGTTTGAAAAACAATCCATTAGAAAACTTATTTAGACCACGAAAACAGCGGTAATAACTATTTGCATTTCCATACGATAATTCCACAAAGAATTTTTGAAATGTTTCTTTGTTTTATGAATTCCTGAAAGATTTATATCAAAGAGATAATTTCCCAATATAAATCGAAAATTTCTGATCGAAATTCGTTTCGTTAAATTTCAATTCTTTTTCTCAAATTTCTATCGTAGGAAATTCATATTTCTGTATTTTAATCAGTCAATTATCAGTTGCCTTAAGGAAGGAAAATAATGAGATGAATAAATTGACGGACGGAAATAAGGGAATGGTTTCATCTATATGAAATTTTCTGGTAAAGAACAAAAATTCTAGCTGAAAAATCATAATTTTGAGTGATATATAACTTAAATGAAATTTGATGGAGCTAATTTCAAGGAGAAGTATCATATTTATATTAAAAAGTTTAATGTCCGATATGAACCTTTCCGGAATTCACAAAACAAAGAAATCAAGAATTTCAGGAATTCTTTGTAGAGTAGTCATAATAGAATGGAACAAAATACGATTATTGACAGTATCCATGAAATTTTTTTGTGTGATGATTTAAAGCAAACAAAAGGAAGATTCAATTGATTGATAGAAGATCAACAATTGATCGAGAAACCGGGAGGTTCAGTGAAAAAAACGAGTCTTGAACATTCAGAAACAGAAACTGTTTGGGAACTTTGACTAGTGCTCATTATTTGCAGATTGATTTATTTTTCTTGAGTTTTTAAAATCTTCAAGACTTTGGCATTTTTGCGATGTTAAGAATTTTAATAGCAGAAAATGGGTTGTATTCTCTTTTCTGAAAAGCAGTCTGGCCTTGTTGGAAGATTGAATCATTTTGGGAAACACAAATTAAAAGGCTGTGATGATGAAATCAGTCTTGGCAAAATGACTGACATGAAGTCGATAGAAAACCCGCGCAGCATTTGATAGAGAAAAAACTACTACCAGTATGCGGAGGAAAAGTGTGCTTCCGCCTCACGTTTGAGCTATCTCAAAATACTGTTACCGCGCATGCAGCAATATATTTGTCGCTTGAAAAGTTTGTTACAAAGTAAGTTCCATAATAGACAGGCAGTATTAGACTGAATAATTGAAATATTGCCAACTGATGGCACACTTCGTTTATATCTACGGTCACTCCATTGGTTATCTCTTGTTAACAGTTATTGCGGAATGACTAACGAATAACTCGTAGAACTTCGAATGAA